GTTTTGTTTTTTTATTTTTCCTCCTACCCCACTATTATGCTTGCATGTTGTTCACCTCTCAGTAATTCCTCTCAGATACAATTTGATTGATGCTATTCTTTCTTTAGTTGATTTCTTCTACTTGGGAAGCACAAGGGAGCCCTGGTAGCGTAGTGGTTACACTTGGACTGCTAACTACAAGGTCAACTGTTCGAAGTCATTAGTAACTTGGCAGAAAGACGGGGCTTTCCACACCTGTAACGAATTAGTGTTGGAATTGCGAAGGGGCACTTCTACCATGCGCTATAGGGCCACTGTGAGTGAGCATCTACTCGATGCCAGGGGATTGAGTTTGAGTTGAGTCAAGTACAATATTTTAGTCGCCTTAATAATTAGCTCTATACTTTAAGCCCCTCACAGCATTTTGAAAAATGTATGCTTTTGAAGGAGTGCTAACTTTCTGAAATCTGTTTTAGTGTTCATAGACATGACATATTTGAAAAGTGAGGTGAGAGACACCCTTTTAATAATTTTTTTCGCTTGAAAGTGGATAACTCTCCACATGTTCAAAGATTGACTAAAACTCAGAATATAGCCATACCCATGACTGATTTATTTATTTATTTTTATTTTTTCCCCATGACTGATTTATTACAGAAAAAGAGTGGGAGGAAAAAGCTACAAGGAATATGCTTGATACAATTGATGTATGGATTATTATAAGAGTTGTAAGAACCCCCAATAAAATGATCTTTTAGTTTCAAAAAAGAAAAAGCTGCAAGGTTGAAGCCCTTTCCTCATAGAGTCATATAAGACATACCTTATCCAGAAATAACAAATATGAGATATTGTCTTACCAGGGAAGTATATTTGAGGGTTACTTATGTAAGTGCCCTTTGCTTAGCATGTAAAACAATAAATTACTCTCAGAAGGAAAGCAGATATTCATTATAAATCATTTATTTGAAGATTAGATACAGTGCACACTTTTTTCACTTAACGTGATAGGAACTCCTCTGAAGTCTAGTTCTCATACACTAATCAAGGAACAGCTTGTAACTCAGCCTTTCAAAGAACAGTAATCAGACCTGATGTAAATTCCTTTCTGCACACTAGTTCTTTTTTTTTTTTAATCATTTTATTAGGGGCTCATACAACTCTTATCACAATCCATACACACATCAATTGTGTAAAGCGCATTTG